ATATATATATATAGTGTGTGTGTGTGTACGCTATCTGTGAATAATAAAGAGAATAATTCTACATGATATCATAGATCTTATATTAGCCAATCGAACCTCCTTCTGTAGAAGTTTTTCTGATGGTCGCTTCAACACCTATTGCAGCAACTTCAGCCTAACTTCCCTATACTACCAGTTGCATCTCCTTGTTGCAGGCCCATATCTCCCCATCTCCCTGCAAACCTGCATCTCCAGTGTCTGTGGGCCCATGTCTCCTTCTCCCGATTTTTTTAGTCGCTATCTGAATTTTCCTATTGTTCGGATATTTCCTGCAGGTGAATCCTATTACAGCATGCAGGCCCTCAATCAACTCGGAAGCAGCAGCAAACTTACTGACGCGGTGAGCCAATCCCCTACAGACAGACTTCCATTAGCCAGTCTAAGGATCCAGGTGAAGCGTCGATCAAAGCACGCAGACTTCTTCTAGAGGGTTGTTGCAGGTACAAGATGATTTGTCCGGCAGAAATTACTCTCCGGTGGAAATTCCTCTCGCTCTCCAGAGGATATACCTTTCTCTCTCTAGTGGAAAAATTTTCCCCACCTGTCAGAGCATAAAATCTTCATGTAGGCAGAAATTCTCAGCCGGAAGCATCCCTACTACCGGTGTTTCCTTCAGCGAAGGCCTCCACTAATCCGGACTTGTATAGGCAGGCAATAGCCGCAAGTTTGTGTCCAATAGTCATGGGAATGCTTCTCTGCAAAAAAGCTTCTCTCCTCTTTGATCTTAGCACAGCCCTCCTACCTAAAAGCCGTAGCTCCTCTCCGTTGGCCTTCTCCTGTTGTCCCTGTGGCAGCTATTCTCCGCCAAACCTTCTCGTGTCCCTGCAGGGGGGTCTTCTCCCGTTGTCCCTGCAGCAGCTCTCACAACCTCCCTATGTCAGCAAGCAGAAGCAGTCAGACCTCTTCCCTGCAAGCAGCCCTTCCCAGCAGTCAACCAAAATTCCTCCCTGCAGGACCCTTCCTGGCTTTTCCCTGCAGCAGAAATCTCTCCTTCGTTCTAATCTACAGCCAAAACACTCTCAGCAATCAGAATTCCCTGCTGCAAGCCCTCCTCAGTCCAGAACTCTCACTAAAACACTCCTCTGTATTCCTCCGACCACCGGAAATTCTTCCTGCAGCCAAACCTCCCTACTACAGGCTCACCAATGTCGGAATACTTGGTATCCATTGTATTCCTCTGTCAGAACTCTTCCTGTTGTACGGATCTTTTCATGCTGCAGACTCTCAAGCGATTCTCCCCACATCCTTCCAGCAGCAGCAATAGCTTTGCTCATCCTTCCAGCCACGGCAACTCCGGATTTTCACTGCTAGCAGCAGCAACAACTACGGGCTTTCCCTGTCACAAGCTTGCCTCCACCAGTTTCTTCTTGCATGCTTCCAGAACTTCCTGCTGCCCAAAAATCTTTTTGTTAGCACTCTTCCCTGTAGCTGGAAGTATCCAGTTGCAGGCCCTCCTCACTATAGACCCTCTTCCTCACGGCAGACCCTCCTAAGTCCACCGCAACCGCAGCAGCTGCTGGAATCCTTCATGGAACCATCTGTCTTCTGTAGGCCCTCCTCTGGAGTTTTTCCCTGCAACAGGCCCTCCACTGTAGCTTTCCCTGCAACATGCCATCCTCCGGAGCTTCTGCTGGAATCATTCATGGAACCATCTGTCTTTTGTAGGCCCTTCTCAGAAGCTTCTCCTTGCAGCAGGCCCTCCGCCGTAGCTTTCTCCTGCAACAAACCATCCTCTGGAGCTTCTCCTTGTAGCTATCAACGCCGCAATACTTCCTGAAGACCAAAAAACTCCCTGCAGACCCTCCATTGTTCTCCGTTGCCATCGGAACTCCCCCTGCAGCTGGAATCCTTCTGCTGCAGTCCCTCCTCCGTCGGAATCCTTTTAGACGACTTACAACTCTTCCAGGGCACATCTTCTTCTTAGCAAGGGAATTCTCCATGTATTATCTCCTCTGTTCAATTTCTGCCATCGGAAATTTCTTAGCAGCAGACCCTCCACCGAAAACTATTCCTTGCAGACAGTCGGACCTTCCTCAACCGGAATTTTCTCTACATGTCTTTTCGTAGCTCTTCCCTGCAACAAAAAGTCTCCCTATTGTAGGCCCTTCGGAATTCTCCTTATAGCTGAAAGTGTCCCTGTTACAGACCCTCCAGAATTTTTCCTTCAACCAATCATCCTACTGCAAATCCTCCGCCAGAGCTTCTCCTTATTGGAGGCCCTTTCTTGTCTCTTCCATACAATTGTTCTTTCTTTTTCCCTGCAGCTTCTCCTGCAAGTTATCTACTTCTCGCATGCTTCCCTACAACATTACCTGCAACCTATGATTTCCTAAAGCAGCCTTCCACCTACTTGTAGCGACTATAGAAATTGTATACAAAAACAACCACAATAAACTAAAAATGACCAAATACTCTTAGGGTTGATAACCAAGTAAAGGATGAAAACTTTAAGTTCTACTCTAGAGGTTAAAATTGAATCAGAGACCAGAGATTCTATTTAGACGACTCCTGAAGTCTCTAACTTTATCAAAATCATGAACTCAATGGCCAAAACAACCTCCAATAGTCTCAATCCGTGTTTATGTATATTTGTGGTAAAGGGAATAATGAACATCTTACAAGAGAAAAGAATTTTGAGATCATTGATACCAACCATCGCACATGGAAGAATCAAGATTATATGGTTATGTCTTGACCAATAAACTCAATGACTACTAAAGTGGGAGAAAATTTTCTATCATACAAAACTGCAAAATAAATATGGGAGGCCGCAAGCGAAACATATTCCAGCACAAAACAATGCAGAGTTTTTTGAGATCGAAGTTAAGCTTCATGACCTTCAATATGGAGAGCTAAGTGTAACCCAATAACTCAACACCTTACAAAAATATTAACTACAATTGGATATGTTTGAGACACATGTATGAAAATGTCTAGAAGATGCTGTGACGTTTAAATTCATAATAAAAAAGAAGAGAGCTGTGATATTTCTAGTAGGACTAACTCGGGAATTGAATGAGGTGAGAGAGGATTATGAGAACAAAGCTCTTTCCATCTACCCCTGAAGTCTTTGCTTAAGAGAAAATAGAGTAGAAAGAAGCTGATGCTGATTGAAAATGGGGTTCACCAAGTACTAAAAGCACGGCCCTATATACTCATAATCCCATCACCCAAAACACTAGAAATATCATCCCCCATGTGACTATTACAAAAAGATTAGACATATCAAGGACAAACGTTGGAAACTTCGGGAAAACCTGCAGACTAGAAACCTGGACAGAGAAGGAAAGATCAAGAGGAAAGGGCTAATACCGCATTCAAAAGGTAGGTTGAATCATTCACCTAGGAGCAGCTTGAACTACTAAAAAAACTTATTGTAATTCAGAGTTGCAAAACCAGCCTCGTGACACAGCTGGTGGAGTAGGGGAAGAAAGCGAGTGGTAATACTGAAATACACCAAAGCTCTTCCTTTCAACACCTTCTCAGAATTCAATACCGGATTTGGTCTCTACAATAACATTTACAACCTAGCTTAAGGGGGAGTGTGAAAATTTGAGAAAATTTAGTTCTTTCTAAATCTTAGAAGATTTGATTGAGATATCTTACGAAACCTTTGATTTAGTTTATTCCCTTCCTATTTTATATTTTTCAATTTTTATTCAGAATTTTTTCCTTTCCTAATTTAGGTGAGATATAATTGGTAAGTTTCTAAATAAGGAGGGATTGATTTCTTTATATATGTGTATCCTAGTTGTGAATAATAAAGAAAGCAATTTTTCCTCCCCCAATAATTCTACACATTCAAAATGCTAAATATTAATTGTAGTATTTTCAAAAACATGTAAATTTATTTTTAGAAATAAAAAATAAAAATATTAAAAAACACACTAAACAAACTTATTTTAAAAAATAACAAAAAATAAAATTAATCTCAAACAAGCCCTAAATGCCCCATGATATCACTTTTGTTTTCATTTTTGTTTTTGAAAATCCTTTGTTTTTTAAAACATATTTGGTTATTATAACTTTTGTAGGTTTTATTTTGTTTTTAAAAAACACCCATATGGGGCCTTAATTTCAATCAAAGTGCCCATTATGAACCAGTACTTTAACCACCAGTAGGGAGGAAGCAGATTCAAACTTGTTTTGGGAAGCAGATTCAAACTTTAACAAAGTTCTTATCCAACTAAAGCTTGACCAATTTATCTTAATAAGCTTAAAAGAGGCCCTTCCAGAGTTTTTTTGGGAAAAGCCAAATTAACAGGTATAAATCTGCATTAAATCCTGAAATAAGCAACACCTCAAAGCCTACCTTCTGGTAATAGTTTGTAAGCACCAGTTGAAAGTTCCTTCAGATTTACAAGAACAATGGCATTCTGAAGAGGTCTTGTAAGTTGTTCTGACAAGGGAACCAAAATTCCCATGCTTATGTCGATCAGCCTTTTAAGAGCTAACCTCTGATTAAAAGCAATATAAGCTAGTTAGCAGACACCCCTGAAGAAATAAATTAATCAGAAAAGAATATGTAAAAAACGACTGCAGATAACACCAAGTTATTCAACAGTAATGTTGGGTTAACCCCATGAGCCCATTGATATGATAATTACAAACATATATTTGGAAATAAGAAAAGTACCAAAATAGTCCCCTGACCTTTTGTGACATTTTTGTAGGAGGTCATTTTAGTCTAAGAGTTTATAAAAATGTGGATATAGTCCCTAGTCTTTTTTAATATGGGCTAAAAAAGACCCAACGGAGGACTATTTCAACCTCAATTTAAAAACTCTGGGGATTAGTTTGATATTTTTGTAGACTTTATGATTAAAATAGCCCCATGCAAACAGTTATAGGACTATTTTGACTCTTTACTCAATTGGCAAAACTAATGCTTATATTATATCTTAAAAGAACCAGAGTATGCATAAATCTTGAGGCAATTTTTAGCATGCTTACCAAAATCACAATCTAATGGCCCAAAGCTTCAACAGAATGGACAAAGCTTGAGGATCTATTCAAGTCTTTTTTTAATTTATTTTGGGTTTTTTAGTAATTACAAATATGCAAAATCCATCGCTGAAAAGTTTTATTGAACTCTCCTGATGCAAAGAAGAAATGAGATTTTATTTATAAATAATCAAAAATTATTTTGAGTTATATAGATTACTAGAATTCAATCACAAAACTATTAAAAAAGTACATTGATCGGATATATGATCTTGATTTGTATGGTTGGTTTGCGCATATGAATTATATTGTATGAATGATATTGCTTTTCAACATTTATAGTGGATAAAAAACTAGTCTTCTACATCTTCCAGCGGACATTGCAGATTTACTTCAGCCTTTGAGCTTTCTCTAAAAATAAGAAATGAGCTTATTTCGATAAGATTTAATGTCGAGGCTGAATACAAAGCTAAAGCCCATTCTGTAAGAGGCTCCATTGGAGAGTTTCATTTTTCAATTACAACACCTATCATTCAGCGCTATAATAATAGTGCAAACATCCACACTACTAAAAGCTTTGCATTTCTTGAAAAAAACAAATATATTAAAAGTTGATTATCATTTCATTCAAAATGATATAGTTTTTATAAATATTGTCACTCATAATCAAGTTTAAAATAATAACTAATAGTTTTTTCAAAAGTTATAGCTCCACGACCATTTTCTTTACCATGTAATAAACTAAAACTAACAGTATATATGCTCTAATTTGATAGAGAGTGTCAGTGCCATTAAATTAAAAAAAAATCATACAAGTACTTCATATAAATTGAGCAGTGCAAGCTTTGGCAGAACCTTGGTACATAGTACTTATTCACTTTTAAATAAAGAGAATCTCTATTGAAAACCACATAAGAAAGGATACTTATCAACAATACTCTTGTATTTTTGTTTTCTAAGGGGTTGTTTGGAATCAATTTTGATTTTATTTTTTATTTTTTATTTTTATTTTTATTTTTCTTTGTTTATGCTTTGATTTGAATTAAAACATATTTGATTATGTTGATTATTTTTAAAAACACTCAAAACACCTAAAAGATGTTTAGAATATTTTAAAAAATAAAAGGTGATCTAGTATTTTTAAAAACAAGGTGATTTATTTTATAAAAACAAAAATAAAGACATAAAAATTATGTTGACCAAACAAATTTTCAAAAATAAAAGCAAAAGTGAAAACAAAAACATAAAATAAAAGTGATGCCAAGACAAAACTCCGTAACAGGTGGGCTTTTGTTGGGCGTCAAAAATTAATGTGCAATTATATGAAGTGAGCTAGATCAATCCCAATCTCTAGTGCAAAATGCCATGAGAGACATGATCGCATACCCCGGTGTGCGATAGACCATAATTAAGCTATAACTCTATTCAGCTTCATATTTCATGACAAATAAATATATTAAAATTGATTATCATTTCATTCAAAATGCTATAGTTTCTATAAATATTTTCACTCATGATAAAGTTTAAAATAAATACCTGATGGCTTTTTCAAAAGTTCTGGCTCCACCACCATTCTCTTTACCATTAAATAAACTCAAACTAACAGTATTTACACTCTAATTTGATAGGAAGTGTCAGTGCCATAAAAATAAAAAATAAAAATCATACAAGCACTTCATTTAAATTGAGCAGTGCAAGTTTTTTTTGATAGAACCTTGGTACATTGTGCTCATTCACTTGTTTTAAATAAAGAGGATCTCTATAGAAAACCACATAAGAAAGGATACTTTTCAACAATACTCTTGTATTTTTGTTCTCTAAGGGGCTGTTTGGAAACAATTTTGATTCTGTTTTTATTTATTATTTTTATTTTTCTTTTGGTTATGTTTTGATTTGAATTAAAATAATTTTTGTTATGATAGTTATTTTTAAAAACACTCAAAACACCTAAAATTTGTTTAGAATATTTTAAAAAACAAAATGACTTTCAGTATTTTTAAAACAAGATGATTTATTTAAAAAATAAAAAAATAAATACATAAAATTTATTTTAACCAAACATATATTCAAAAATAAAAACAAAATTGAAAACAAAAACATAAAAAAAAAAGTGATGCCAAGCAAAACTTCATAACAGGTCAGCATTTGTTGGGGATCAAAAATTACTGTGCAATTATATGAAGTAAGCTAAGATCAATCCCAATCTCCAGTGCAAAATGTAATGAGACATGATCGCGCACCCTGGTGTGTCATAGACTATAATTAAGCTTTAACTCTTTTCAGCACATGTTATAATACTATATTTTCCTAAAGTGAAGTTGATCTTACAGCATCAGTATCATCAATAGAAGGAAGCTCACTCAAGAGAATGGAGTCTACCGTTGCGAGATCCTGAAACAATATTAAAATTTATCAAAAATTAAGATGTTACAAGAATATCTCGCTTATCATTTAATTTGCCAAAATTATATGATGCACGGGTAGAAGCGATAACCTTGAATGGCATGCCAACTACAAGCTTTGCTGCAAGCGACCGGTAGAGAAGTTCTGGTGTCTGGCATAAATAAAAACTCAATTTTAACATAAATTATCACAAAATAATTGGATATATCTAGTAATTTAGAAAATCTAAAACAATTACAACAGCAAAAACAGCAACAAACATTTTATCCCACTAAGTGGGGTCGGCTACATGAAAACTTGTTCTCCATTGTGTCCTATTGAGTGTCATATTTTCATTTATATCTAAAACTATGGTTCATTTTTTTTTTATTATTATTATTTAAACACGCCCACAAGTGCTATTGCTGAGTTGATTTCCTTGACATTGGGTCAGTGACAAAATGAAAATTAATCAAAAGAAGATTGTGCTCTACTGAATCATATCATAGCATTTAAACAGTTTCATTATAGCCAAAAAAAAAGACTTCACAATGCAGGAAAAAAAACTCAGATTAAACTTTAAATATTTAGGATATGATTATGAAGCCAAAACCTACTCTGAGCTTATCTAAGGAGACCGACATCAGAACGGAGCCATCACGATGCAGAACCCCTCGATAATCCACCTCTTCACCCTATTTCGAGAAAAATTTGTCAGGATTGTCAGAAAAACTATTCAATGCTAATGAATGGTCGCATGAGCTAACCTCCTTCTGAACTGGTAGCTGACCACTTCGTCTTTGGAAATCAAAATAACGTCTGTTCTTCTCTTCAAAAGGGGCCTTTTTGAGAGATTTACATAGAAAAGCACAAACATCACAAAACATCAGCAAGACTAAAAAAATTATAATTATATTATATGTGGTGTGGTATTTATTCAATTTCAAATAAGAATGGCCTAAATAGAGCTCTACCACTCCCTTTTGAATGTTCGCAGCCCTCATGCCTAGGCTTGCCAATTTCCTACAAGGATCAATCTCTTCTTCAGGTGGCTCGGTAAGAGATACCCTAATAGTATCCCCCAAACCATCCTGCAAAAACATAAGAACAGAAATTTAAATTTTGATTATGCTTGCATTACTAAAATGAGAACAAAAAAAAAAGGCTCTTCAACAATCTAGAAGGTTGCAGGAATGCCTAGCATGCAAGGAATGCTTAGCATGCAGATGATGAGACAAAAAAAAGCAATTTACTATTGATCTTCTAGGTGTTCCGCTAAAGAAACTATTGTAGCAAATAGGTCTTCATTGTCACTGGAAAAACATTAAAGATGGCCGCAATAAAATGAACAAGATTATATAAGAAAACAGTGGCACATTTCATTGCCTTACTATCCATTTAGCGCAGCTACACGGCAAAAGCACTGCCCGCCACCTTATTATTCGTCGTTTGAAAAATGCATTTTGCCCTCATTTTAAATGACACTGCTCGTCAAAATATTAATTTCAGCGTTCTATGTTCTTATAATGGCGGTTACCCTATATTTGAAAAGGAAGACTCTAGCATGATATCGAGAAAACAATGTCAGCCAATCAGAATATGGGAAGAATTCAAGGGCTGATTGTTGAAGCATTTTAGAACCACACGGGAAGGGAATTTACACGAGTAATTTTTTTTGCATTGATCCAAGGATGATACGTCATAGATTATATAGAGAAATGTGAGATGTTATCTGATCCTTTGAGAGGGATATTAGAAGAAGTATTGGAATTCATGAAAAGGTTGAAGCCAAAGTCTAACACTTCGTCTGTTGAGACTATGGGGATTGGGGGAAACTTTGAAATTAGCGCAATTGGTTGAAGATAAAAATGCAATTGAATGGGCTACTAGGTGCAGCATAGGTGAAGCGTCATACTGAACTGTTACAACCACAATGATACCAAAAGCTCAGACACAGAAGTTCAAAGGGAGGCTCCCTGGGACAGGAATAATAGGTCATGATCAGAGGTGACACTCAAACGTCTTACAAAGATAGAGATTCAGGAGAAGCGTACCGAGGGGTAAAGTTTTCGATATGAGAAATTTGTCCCATGACACCATTACAAGTTGTGGTGGAGGAGGAACACCTTAATGTGGTAGAATTCGCATTAAACCCGAAGATGGGGTTAACACCAAAACACACTGTGAAACTTCAGTGACATACCAAAGAGCATTAGGTAGTGATATTGCTAAATATTAGGGTCACCCACAACATCATCGCTACTCAAATGGTGAAGCAATAGGGGCAAGAGACGGTTGACACAAGGAAGTTTTGGAGATGTGATGGGAATGGAATAGATGGAGAAGAGCAGGAGAGTTTGTAAATGGCTAATTTTGACAACAGGGTATTCATGTGATGGGGGATATTCTTCCATTAGATTCAAAGAGGACTGACATGATATTGGGTATGAAATAGTTGCAATCCTTAGAAAAGGCTAAGATGAATTGAAAACTCTTGACCATAGAGTTTCAATAGGGAGACAAGATGGTGGTACTATGCGGTGACCCTAGTTTGTATAGGACCTTGGCGTTGGTGAATCCATCGAAGGTGGTTGTTATGTTGGAGTGGCCACTACTTAAAAACATCAAGGGGTTGAAAAAATCTATGAAACTTACAAGATACTACCAAAAGCTCATTAAAGGATTGGAATTTGATTGTGTGGTCATTGATGGAGAAATTGAATAATAACTATCAGTGGGGGAAACGGCAACCCAGACTTTTGGGAAATTAAAGAAAACAATGACGAGTGTACGAGTGCTAACGTTACCTGATTTCAATTAACCTTTCATTGTAGATAATGTTTAGGCTATGGATTAGGCGCAGTCCTAATTCATAGGCGTCGGTACTGTCAACGACCCATCGCTTATCTAAATCAAGTGCATGCTGCAAGAGTCAGACTAAAGGTCAATTTATGTGTGGGAGTCATATAGCTTGACCTAGCAGCAATTTGTCTTTTTTTCGCCTTAAGAATAAAGTATCTTTTTCGGAGGGAAGTAATGACATACTGACGCCTAAGGGCAATTTAGTCTTTTATTAGTTATTATTGTGGGGTATAAATAATGCTTATTATGCTTATGAGATCATGTATTGAGTCTTAAGATTAGATTTTGGGAGACATTGCTTTCCTCACGAATTGTAGACGTTAGAATTATTTAGAGAGAGATCGTCTATCTCTTGAATTATAGGTGCTTATCTTTTAATTATTTGAGTTGTGTTGTTTGCGTTATTGAAATAAAATATTTAGTTTCCCTAATTTTAGTAAAAACCTCATCTTTTTTTCTATCATAGCTATACTGCATAAATAGTTGTATTTAGTTTTCCTAGAAAGACATCAAAGTATTACATGATCTTTAGAAGTACTCATTAACAGTCATGAATAAACAATTACAAAATAGTTTACCTATAAAGTTACTAGACTATTGCATGCCCTTTTGATTCTAGTAAACATACACTTATATTAACTAGTAGATTAATGCAAATGTCGCATAATAAAATAATATATGCTATGAAGGAAATATTGTATACATGAATGCTTACATGTGCATGCTAAGAGGAGGAGTTCACCCCTTATGCAATGGTTGGGGACACCAAAGTACCTACGTAAGTAAATAATTTTTTACCATATCAGACAATAGTAAAACATAAATCACTAATAATTGTCTTGATGGTTAAGTAACGGTCATGATTGAATGAACACCCTACCATCTCAAACAATCATGTAATTTAGACCACAAGCCGCTATGCGACGGGATAATATCGGTCAAGGGTGAGTAGACATCTTTCTGCCTCAGACAATCGTGCAATTTAGATCATAAATCATTGTGCCGACGGGATAACAAAGATCAGAGGTGTATTAAATTATCTTTCAACGGTGCTCCTAAGAGGATGTGAAATTTAGGAGTATGAAGTACATTAAGCTTAAGAAATTATACTTTAAAAAATAAAATAAAAGAAAATGCATGTAAAAATTCTAGATTTCTTCCATGAGAAAACATAATGAACATATGCTATAAATTATTATGATTTTCTGTAATATATTAGGACTAATCAGCATAAATAATGTCTTTTCTTTTTCCTTGAGTTACTGTAGTTTAGAAAAGTGATTACTTCATTGGGTTATCTTAAATAACTCAGCATGTTATTTTAATGTTTTTCATGTTTAATTTTTTTTAATAAAAGATGAATACTAGATGAAATATGTGCACGCTGCACAGAAGGCAAGATCGGTAACATGAAAGGTAAACTTTTATTTGGTCAATTAAATCATTTTCTTTAGTGACTCTTTCAATTCATTTGCATAGTAAATTATTAGTGATAATAAATAAAAATAGAATAAGAATGTAGAAAATTTTAAATTTTACCATCAAACTCTTGGTTCACGCTTTGATTAATTTCAAGCCCCAAGCTAAATTGGGACAGAGACTAGCAACAATTTAAGCAAAACATATAATAAGTTGGTTTATTTCCATTTCGTTAATATGCATCCTCAATCCCCAGATCTGAATGCAGCCTAAATGCTTGGAATAAATAAAGGATCATAGAGTTATTTTACAGATGAATGCCCACATTGAACTCTTAACTTAATGCATCCTCAATAAATTAGTGCATCTTTGCCTCTCCAGATTGAGCTTGTCAGCTTTACTCTGACTAATCTTCCATATACAATCAAGTAACCAAATGAATTTCTTCTATAGTAAAATTGAGTTGTGTTTCGGGTCAAATAAACCCGATAAATTTCAGCAAGTTCAACAACTTGACCAAAGTTACACCGATGGGACAAAACTATGAGGCAATTAAGCCAAAGCAGGCAACATCTCAAAGAATAAGAATTCGGGTTGTTACATATAAATGACTTAATTTCTATGTAATTAATAAATTTTAAAGGTAATTATTTGATTGAGTAACAATTAACAAAGGGTATATTTGGGATCAATTTAACTTTTTTTTTCTTCTCTTTTGTTTTTAAAAACACGTTTGTTTAATGTATTTTTTACATGTTTTTATTTTTTGTTTCTAAAAAACATTAATATGTTTTCTAAAAACAGTCTGAATAACTTATGGGTGTTTTGAGTGATTTTAAAAATAACTTTAATCAATAGCCAAACATGTTTTGTTTTGAATCAAAACATAAACAAAAAATAAATAAATAAATAAATATAAAAAACAAAAGTGACCTCAAACGGCCATAAATGTTTGGCATATTATTCTTCATCAGACAGACCAGACCACCAAAAAGTATTTTCATACCAGCAGAAAATGTCTTTAATTCCGATTGTCAATTTAAGTCAAATTAATACACTAGACAATTAAAAGTAGCAAATAAAATATAAGAGATTGAAGGATAAAAGCAGTGCGTAAACCTGAAGCAGAGTTCCAATACCAATTGCAGATTTCATTCGTCCATCCTCACCTTCACCAGCTTCAGTTACCCCAAGGTGGAGGGGGTAATCCCAACCTTGAACATACATTTCTGCTACAAGTAAACGATACGCTTGAACCATGATCACCGGGTTACTCGCCTTCATTGAGAAGACGAAATTGTGGAAATCTAACTTTCGGCATATCCTTGCAAACTCCATTGCGGACTCTACCTGCATCAGAATTAGAATAATTGAAACATTCAGAACTAATTGTAATTAATAAAATTGGGAAATTTTGGTGGCATAAATAAAAGCACCAATCACCATTCCCCTAGGAGAATCACCATAATAGCTCATTATACGATCAGAAAGACTTCCATGATTTGTACCAATACGCATTGCCCGGCCAAATTTCTTGCATTTCTCAACCAATGGAGAGAGGACCTGTTCTAATAGAGAGAACATCACGGTAACCTCATTATAGTATATGACAATATGATAGAAAGATATATAATGAGCCTTCAAACGAAATAAGATAGCCACAAGCAGTTACAGTGGTAAAATTGAATGTCACCGGAGTAGAGAAGCAGCAAAATAACAGAATTAACATTCTCAATAGGAACCTACCAGAACCTATTGGTAATTTAAATTTTGAAAATGCAAACCCATAATTTGTTAATTTCGTTACCACTTACGAATAGGAAACATCTCAACTAGCTTTAGAATGTGGGTGCATCTCAAATTACACGTACAAGTATGAGACAACTTGGAATGATAGCAAGTAAAGTTTGAGAGAGCCAATTTCGATTTAAAATTGAGCCAAGAATGACTAGAATCAACTATGTTTGATTTTGAGTCGAGTTTGAAGTGGATTCAAGTGAGGACAGTTAACTTTATAAAATATATTTTAATTACTCAACAAAACTATTATATGTATAAAATTATTCAAAAGATACTTACACATGCTTTTTAAAATAGAAATTTAAAAGAGTATTGACATTTATTATTTAAAGTACTATATAATAATGGATGCACACACGTGTGCATGTATTAGCACACGTGAATATGTGCATATCTCATATATTGAGTCAATTTTGAGTTGATTGAGCTTATTTTGAGCGATTCATAATTTTTATTTTAAGCATAATAAATTTGAGTGATTATCAAGCAGGTTCTAAACATAATTTCAACACCATATATAATAGAAGAAAAAAATTAGGAAAAATATAACAAGATATTAGGGATTAAAGAGTAGCCAATACATCTGAAAACCTCCATTCTCTTATACAGCAGTAAAGTTTAAAATCATTCCATTTGGCTCCTTATTGTTATGAGATCCAACACCTTGCATTAAAAAGTTGAGAGCATCTAATTAGTGCCCTAAGAGGATGTAAAAGACCAAAATGTATGGCACAACTTGGAGTTATAAAAACAAGTTCAAGAGAGCCAATTTCAGTTCATCTCCAAGCTCCAGAGAAATCAACGATGTTCAATTTCAAATCCAGTTTCAAGAGATTCTACTACGTCGGTGCCTAGCTTAAGGGCAATTTTGTCTTTTGTGTGTCTAAAGGCAATTTAATCTTTCATTATTTATTATTATTTTAGCATAATGGCTTTAGAGTTAGGTATGCATGAGATTGTGGTTGTCAGTCCTAGAGTTAGGGCTTGGGAAAGACTTCCAACCTCTCGAATGGTAGAATTTGAGAGAGATCATCTACCTCTCGAATTGTAGGTGCTTATCTTTTATGGATTCGTGTTAAGTTATTTGATGATCCAGAAAAATAATTACCATTGGCCGCCCTAATTTTTGTGTGAAAATTTGTCCAGAATCATATCAAATGGTATCAAAGATTCGGCCACTGCGGCAACCTCGTATTCGTTTTGAAATCTTCATATCATGCTAGATCATCAAGACATCGGTTTGCAACGTAACTAGCTACAGAGCCTTCCACAAAAGGGAACGCAATGTACAGGTGCAAGTGACGGGGGCCTTCGTGACCAAAACTCGCCACACAGTCGCGATTAGATCTCTCCAAGAAGAGGATGACGGGATTGCCGCATAACAAACTCTTTTGTGAACAAATCTCGCGATACAATCAAAGGGACTGTGGTACACAGGCCTTTGTGACCGAATTCCATGATACAGTCACGATCGATCTAGGACGACGTGCCCTAATGATACGGTCGCGGCAAAAGCTAACTGGGAAGCATCAACAATATCACGATTCCAATGAGTGGCTTAAAAGAATCACAGTTAACAACGACGGGATCGCGACTTACAAAGACCCATCTTTCGCCTCTTGATGCTTCCGACAGTTGCAATCAATGCTAGTTGTGAATCTTCGATAGTGATACAATCTCGATAAGAGACGCACAATTCCTAACCTAATTCGCAACGGGAAGGGTTTCAAGATTTCGGTGATAAGAGACGTATAACTTCCATCTTTCTCCTCCTCCTCCCGCTCCATCCTAGTGATACAATAACGGAAATGCGGTGCCCAGTCGTGATACAACCGCAATCAAAGATCCCAAAAGTCAGCAACCAAATCGAGTGTGCCCTCTGATGGAACCTCTCGTAATCTGAGAAACTGACAAAGGAATTGTGGCATTCATGTCGGTATTTGAGCTAGCTGAGAAGCCAACCACAAGATCACAAGTTCCGAAACCGTACAAGGAGCGGAGACAGTAAATAAAATAGATACTTTGGAGGAGGAATTAGAGAAAGAGATGAGTCACATCATATCAGAAATAGAGGAACAACACTCAGGTAATACATGAGCATTTCTCGTCCATAGAGGAGCGGTTTGAGCAGAAATTCACGGCCCTTAAAGAAATAATAAAGAAGAGCGCGAGGTTTCATACAAAGTTGCCTTTGCCAACCACAGAATCGAGCGATGACATCGGGAATAAACTCGAGCAGTAGCAACCAGAAAAATTCGCGCGACATCAGAGCAATGTCGATCGGAAGATGTGGTGTCAAGCGAAAAAATAAGAAGCAAACTCAAGTGATCTCACTTGAAAAATAGTGTGGTATTTGAAAGGCTTGAAAATCGAAAGCAAGTGGGATTGAAGTTTGCAGATAAAAGAGACGCATGAAACGGAGTTGTTAGAGATTCTAGTGGTTGGTGAGCTATTAGACGAGTTGTTTGTAACTATGATATTCTCTCAGAGTGACTCGAAGTCATGACACCATCAGATTCGTATGCGGTTGAATAATGTACATAAGAAGAAGTTTTGAATTTATGAGGGTTACTATAAATTTGTAATTAAATGAAAAGAGTTGTCAGGTAATGCAAACCATGAGAACCACATGAATTGATCCAACAACAGTTTTTCTACCTTGAGACAAGGTGGTATTTGAAAGGGAAGCATTGTTACGTCGATGTCTAGCCTAAGGAAAATTTTATCCTTTGTGTACCCCTAAAGGCAATTCAGTCTTTCATTATTTATTATTGTTTAGTATAAATAGACCATAATAGGTTTAAGGTATGCATGAGATTGTGGTTATGAGTATTAGGATTAGGGTTTGAGAGAAAACTCATGCCTCTCGAATGGTAAGATTTGGGAGAGATCACCTACCACTCGAATTGTAGATGCTAATTTTTTAAGTATTTGTGTTGATTGGTATGGTGTTCCAAAAATAAAATTACCATTATCCCTAATTGTTGTCTTAAAACATGTAGAGAATCATATCATAATCATGTGAAGTATATTTATTCAAAAAAGACTTGTTTGTTACTTATCAAAACTATTATCTAAATTACAGTATTCAAAATATATTTATAAAGATGTGTTAAATAGAATAAATTCAAACGAGTGTTTGTGTGTACACACATGCATACATATATATTTGTTTATAAGAATGTATGTACTAACTTGCATAAATATGTACATCTCATACATTGAGTCAATTATGAGTTGAATCGAAACTATTTCAAGTGAGACATATTTGGTTTTGTGCGTATTGATTTCAACTTCGAGTTATCAAGCATGTTTTGAACAAAATTCTAACATCATATACAATACATGAAAAAAATTAGAAAAAAACGTTCAAAGATTTCTAGGCTTAAAAAGTAGCCCATTAGTTTGGAAAACATCCCAGCTCTTATTCAACCCCAAAGTTTAAAGCCATCACAATTGATTCCCTATTGACTATTGTTATGAGATCCTTTAGCTTATATAACATGTTGTATGTAATTACCTCACTAAGAAATTTGTCAAACGACACTGATGCCAAACTTTTGGTTGTACCTTTTTGGGATAATCACATCTAGGCCAAGGGTACAACTTACATAATGACTACAGCTTGAGTTATTTGATGGTCAGGTACAAGGAAACACAAAGATCTTGGCTAAAAAAGAAGGCAACAAAGAAACATTCATATCAACAAGGAGGATTTATCCATATCAACAAAGTCTGAAAGATGAGGAGCTTACACCGCTAAGCATATCGCTTTGGTAATACAAGAGCGCTAGCTAAATAAAGTCATCAAGGGTGCTACAAGTTTAAGACAGTCAGTTGTTCTTCTCTTATCATAGAAAGTTCAGATCTTTAACCTTTAATATGTTAGGATCAGCTTATTATTACAAAACGCATATTTCACCAAATATTAAAAGCTTACCTATAAGAGATATCAAGATAATTTGGATTACTGAAAAGGAAACCATGTAATAATATCATTCTTCCCCAAATAGATCCTATTCGCATAATTGATGATCAGACAATATATCCTTTCTCAAGTTGCTTTGCTTTGACGAGCACATCGATACATAATTAATTAAAATTTGTTTAAAACAATTGAAACCCTTTTTTCTTAAGATTATAGCAAATGTGCAGTGGATTGACTAAGTGTAATTAAAATTCCTCACTCGCGATTTTTATGCTGAAAATTAGAATCAAATGGTTGAAACCTGGGCTTAGAATATTTCGTGCATCTCAATTCCAGCCCGAAATAAGAAATAATTTTGTTGGCAGCAATTGGGATAACATATGAACTATTAATGCAAGAGAATCCAATTAAATTTCAAACAAAAGTTGTCATCATGAATTTTCTTTTATTATTTCTTTTTTGAAATGCAACCAATTTTTATGAAACACACTGTTAACAGTGTAAAATCTTTGCACTAATCAAGGCTTTTCTCAGTACGCATATCAAGGAAAACACTTATAATTCCATCGTGAATGAGGAAAAGAACTGTCATAGCAACAACACAAAAGTCAGAAATTACAACAAAATGATGTAAAGAAAATTAATGACAACTATATGACAATGATAATAGAAAAATAATTAATTATCCTCAACACAAATCAATCGAATTTGCATTAAACATTTTTGGAAGTTCCAACACGAGAGAAGGCCCTATAGATACAGAGTGGCAAGGATGAAAAAACTATCGCACGTGCATTTGACACTATGGAGCTACTATCCTTAAATAGGCTAACCCATTGCTATCAAACTATTTATCCTTGAAGTCTGCCGAGAATTTCTCAGGGAACCATTGACACTTAGTGTATAGGGGTGACTTAGTGTAAAGAATTAAAGGCAAGTTAGTCATTGACCACTCATATATAACTCAAAAATGTCATGTGCATGCTCACATAACCACACCTAATAATAAAAATTCATGGCAGGCTCATAGTAGGGACCAGATGTAAGAAAGATTTTACTTGAGGGATCTAAGAACAGTGTTTTTAAAAATGTGTAGCAATGTGAAACATAGCTATTTCAGCAGGTAATTTAACCTAAAAATATTATCAATGAGCAATCTACTAAAAATACGAGATTATTCCATTGTATATATGCAAAGCTATTTGAACAGTCCACATTTGTAAGATGCAATAGCTATATATTATAGAATGCAATAAGAAAAATATATTTATGAATGTGGAATCAAATTTATCTGCCATTGTCCTCTACACACCAAACAAGCCAAAAGAAAATAAACACAACAAAGGTATTTGATCACTCGCCTAACAACAAAATCACAAATGATGTCCCACTTTACTCACAAGACAATGAAAACAAATAAAGAAAAGCTCAGCAAGATCAACACTACTTGGTATAATCTAATTTGGTTGCAAAGGGGCGTCATTAAGGAAATGGCTAATTTGCAAGAAAATACAAGAGGTTCTCCAAATAATTTCAAATGGAAAAACAATTCACAAAGATCATACTAACAAAATTTGCAAGAGAAAACTTGTTCAAACTAGAGCTCATAATCCAGGTAGCACTCAAAGAGGTTAGGCAATTACATCTAGGTTTGGGTTTCAATTGTAATAACCGAAAAGAAAAAGCAACAAAAAAGAAACTTCAATGGGTAAGATCGGTTTGATCAACCTTGTTAGTTTCTTTTAAGAGACGAGCATTTGATTTCAATGAGACAAAATAGAGAGCGAGACAGAAGGAAGAAGTAGAAGAAGGTCATGTCCATCTCAGACCTTGATGCGACGCCGCATTTGAGTGAGGGAAGGATGTTGACATTACTTACCATCAATTTGATACTCGCGTGCATCTAGGGCAAGGAGACGGCATCGCTGCTGTAATGAGGTGCTCGATTTCTCATGCATAGGTGACCGTCAAAGTATATTCCTTGGAAAATCTAATGGGGATCTATCGAACAAGGCCAACAACTATAGTTGTAATACTTTTATTAATTCTTCTAATAATAAGGGTGGTTAATCTCTTGTTAAGAAAGCTTAGATCTTTTCCATTTTATTTTGAATGAGGTTTAGCCAATTATTATCATATTTCTTGAGATTTCAAGTATATTACAAAATCAGCTAGTATTATGGGGGTCCACATAGTATTGATTATTCATAAGTAAATCAAATGGTCTTGTTCTTCCTTCTCAATCAAACCTTGTCTGTTTTTTATTTTCTTTGACAGCCACTCAAGGCTAAGCTAAGCAAGCTAGAAGCAGTCAAGATCCTCTACACTCCTATATAAATAGCACTCCAGAATAACCCTTAAACTCTTCACTCTCTCTCCTTTTTCTAGGCACTTAAACCTTAAATTACCACTAACATTGCAATATTTTAACTCTCCTGAAATACAAACTCAACCAAAAAATCTAAGGTTTCTTCATACCTTTTTTTTTTCTTTTTTTAGAGAAGAAATTGGATAATTCATTATTATTTACAGGATTCATCAACCAAAAGCTCCAAACATCTTTCTACTCAAGTATAATTAATCAAAGTCTTAGATACCTAACTATGATGCACGAACACTTCTGACTAAAAAGTTGTGTAGTGTTGGACCATTCTCGGAAACCGACACATCCCAAACATGTCCCTAAAGTGTCTGATTTAAATAATATTAAAATAAAAAAGACGCGCGTGTCTGATGAAATGCGTGTCTTAAATTAGTGAATAACAACTTTAAGAAAATATTTTTTTAAATATCAATGGTATATTTTTATAAGTAAAACTAAAAAAATTTATTTTTTATTTGAAGGTTAAACCTATCTGTTTGACTTATTTATCTGAATTCTTTCCTCTCAAACGAGCTCGAGCAATTTGACAATCATTCGCTTGGGCTGTTATTTCTCATTATGGACATCTTAGTTTTTAAAAATAATGCTATTATTACTTTTTTGTATCATTCTTAAAAATTTATTATTATTATTATTATTATTATTATTATTATTATAATGTGTCTAACACATGTTTGTGTCCTATACTTTTAATAATGGAAATGTCACATATCCATGTCTTGTCGGGTACGTGTCCCAATGTCCATTTCTATGCAACATAGATCCCAAATGATATCCATCCTAATGGATATCATAAATCCTTTATTAAATTTAAATCTGATCCCCCTCCCCCTCTCCCTAATGCATGCAGTAACAATCTACCATTCTCATTATATTTTTGTAATAAATGTAGCCTCAAATCCACAACATTAATAAATGGAAGAAGTGCTTTGTACCGCCCCAAACCATAAGATGAGGGTAAAGAAGAAGGTGTGAATCCCCAATCCTCTTGCATATCAAACCATTCATCATTCAAGATCGGTCCTTCTTCCTTACTTTAAAAACACCTGTCTCTCACACACACACTCTCTAGACTACTTTTGACCATAGAATTTCCAAATGTAAGAGACCTTAAGTGAATCACAATTAAATAAATGTTCTTACCTCTTCAATATGTTCAAGTTCTTTCTGATAATCTTCTTCAGAATACTCTAGTTTTACAAATTGTGCTCGCCTATCAGCTGCAAAGCAATTTAACATAATAAGAAGCTCCTTCAAAGTGAGTACAAGGATTCTAAGAAAATATAATTCATACAGACCAAAATTCCCAGGATTGACCCGGATTTTATCAAAACATTCAGCCACTCTCAATGCAACAGAAGGTGCAAAATGTATGTCTGCTACTAAAGGAATATTGTAGCTGAAAAGAAAAAGGTATTAGTTGCATAAAAAAACTAAATTTTTAAAATCATAGGGGCCATTTGAATCACTTTTGTTTTTATTTTTGTTTCTACTTTTAAAAACATGTTTGTTTAGTATGTTTTTATATGTTTTTATTTTTTGTCTCTAAAACCAAATTAACATGTTTTTTTTAAAGCACTCAAGAAAACTTTTAGATGTTTTAAGTGTTTTTAAAAACAATCATACAATAATCAAATAGCCAAACACATTTTGTTACAAATCAAAATATAAACAGAAAAAAATAAAAACAAAAATAAAAAACAGAAAAAAAAAGTGATCCCAAACGGCCACATAATTTTCTTGTCCCCTACTCTTTTTGAACAAGAGAATTCTTTATGTCAAAGCAAGCATCAGCTTCTCTCTTTCCTTGAACTGTTATCCGGACAATATCTGCTCCTTTATCAGCTATCCTCATTACCTAATGCAGGAAATTTCAATTTAAAAAAGACTAAATTAATATATGTAACTAACAAAGAATTACATAATAACGAGAGAAAAGAAGAGCATCAAAGCAACTGCTGAAGAAATTAATAGAAAAATGGAAAACCCATATAACAGTAATATCAAGAGAGAACGAAATGGAAGCTTTACCTCTTCCACAGTTTTGGCCACATCCTTGGTATCAGAAGTAGTCATTGTTTGTATACGAATGGGATGTTCACTGCCAAGGGCCACATTTCCCACCATCACAGTTCTAGTTTTTCGCCGGACAGTCTTATGAACAGATTCACAGTACTTTTGCCGAGGCACTAAAACAGCAAATCATTCAGCATTTCAGAAGTTTTTACGCAAAAAAATAATAAGAATCACAACCTTTTTACTGAAAACAAATGAGGGGCTTCTAATAAGAATCACTTAACAACCAGCATATGCTAACTCGTAATAAAGGGAAATTAACATACATGCCACAAAATTCTTATGTATTTACATATCTAACACCCAAGGTTTGAAATTTACACTTATAACATCTTTGTGTCATAACCCTATTGAATGAAAAGGTGTATTTCACTTTTAAAAAGATAGTGATGGTGGTGTTTTTTATTTGATAATAAATATTTCAGTGGAATGGATGTAAATATGAATGTTTGGGTGTTAGATATGCAAAGACATAATAATTGTCTGAGATGTATGTAAATGCCCCAAAAATAAAACAATGAGCATTGAGCATAATAAAACATGCAATCCAGTTCTACAAAACGTAAACTAGATTTGCAGGTAGAGATTAGAAACTTTAAATCTACCTGGAAAGTATTTAATACAGTTGTGATTTGAGGCAAGGAATGGAATTGCTTTTCTTTTCTTTCTTTCTTTTTTTTTTTTTTATGGAATTAATGAATGGCAAAAGGGGATGATACCTAAGAGAGGACTTCCATCAGGAGCAGGCCGCAGCTCAACCGTGTCTGGCCCAGAACTCAAATTTCTAATCACCAAGACCCTGTTTTTTATACGTCTTGGCTTCTTCTTGAAATTCGGAACAGATGTAATCTCCGCAAAATCCACGGTTCTTGCAAAGCTTAAACCATAGTCAGTACCCTTCAAAGTAGGAAAACAGGCTGAAATGGCTCCAGCTGCCATCATCTCTGCCGCTCAGCTTTAGCTTCCACACAACCTAAGCGGTGCATATAAACATAACCATCAACATGTCTGAATTGCTCAGGATTGACAATCAGAAAAGCTAAATAGAAGACGAAGAATAAGAAGAATAATTCCCATCAAATAATATTATTTTATCCACTCCACTCTCTATCATCTATTCCCTACCTAAGTAGAATGTCAAATGGAGACCCCCACTTCAGGTCAAACTTTACACTTGAGATCTACTACCCAACACTCCGATTGCTTAATATACAACAATCCAGTTCTTCGAATCATAATTAGAAAAAACACAAACAAATCAGCGATATCCCCCAAAATGAACTAAGACCACCCAATCTTCACGAAAACAACGAGAACTCACAAGCAAACAACGCATTAATTGAAACATAACCAAACCAGTACATTCTCTAATTACCAAAATTACGCAAGAAAAGACATACTAAAAGTTGAAGCACCAATATTCGGAAAATCCATCTGACATCACAGACCTATGACAGAAACCAAAGTGCTAATTTCAATCAGCTCATTCAATAAAAATTGCTTGTAGTGGTGAAGCGAGTTACCAGTCGATAAGGATTGAGCGGGAACTGAAGAAGGCGAGTAGAACCACCCCTTGTCTTCCTCTTCTGGTTGGAGTTTCTATCACTAGCTCGTGGAGAACATGTCCCATTAATTAGTCGCTTGTTCGTAATTAGGCGCCGCACCTACTCCCCCCAATCATTTTAGCCACTTAATAAACATTATTTTTAATAAATTTTAAAATTTTAAATTGAGGCCACTTTCATACCCTAATTTTTCATTAATTAGAGTGCAAAGTTGCCGGCCATATTAATCTCAATTAAAACATGCACTTACAATAAAACAAAATTTTGATGCTAAATATTAGGTAAATTTACATGCATGGCATCTAAAATTTAATATTTACATTTACAGGCCTTTAAAATTATAGAAATATTCATGAAAATATCAACTTTTCTATTTATAAAACTAATTCTTTCTCTTGATTGTCTTAAAACTATCGTTCAAATATCAAAATTCACACTAAATTCTGAACCTATATTTTTCATTTTTAACAAATTCTCGATGATTTGAATGTTTCTTGTTTAGTAGTTCAAATTACTTTTTTGCAGTTCTAACTTTTTAAATAACAGTTTCTAGTGTATGCATGTAATTATCCAAAAATTTAAGTTTTCTCCTCCCCAAAAAGAACCCCTCCTCCCTCTCTTAACTTCACTTTTATATATAAAGGAGAAAAGAGATAAAAAATACACTTTGTACAGTTCCACGCTCATCCATGGTGTCTTGGTTAAAAGATTGTGATGTGAGCATCAGACGATGTTTTAAAGCATGTTGGATTTGTGTCATTGCAAATAATGATGGTCGTCGCTTACAGTGTCCCTCCCTATATGAATTAGGTTGCCTTTGTGGGAGAGATAAATCTAAGTGTTTCAGGCTTTGATGAGTTGTTTTAGTTCAGTCACTTTGGCGAGTAGGCTTAGTTTAGTCACTTCCGCATGTAGGCTCATTTTGCGAGTATCCACTAAAGGCTAGAGACAATGGATATCAAATTATCTCTTATCCAATAACTTCTTGAATTAGCCAATCCCGACAACTTCATATATTGATGTCGGTTGACTAGCACTTTGACACCTTTTTCAATCAGAGATTATCAACATAGAGGAAATAAAAAACAACAGATTCTTCCACTTCTATTCTTATAGAAGCATTTAACAATTCAGCCATGCCTTCATGTTTGTTCTCAAAAAATATTAATAAAAATTAAATTTATGAAATGAACATTTTGCTTGAACGTCATCTTAGATTGTCTTCGGTCATATGTGAATTTCTTTTTAGCACTTATATTGATATTTTATATTTTATAACTATGTTTGAGGTTACAAGTATGTTATTGAAGGAGTTGGAGTCACTTTATCATTTATTTCTCCCTAGTGTCCTTACTCCTTGTATTTTTCCTTAGTAGTATCTCCTTGGTGATGTCATCGAAAAGATGCTCAACCCTTATGTTCTTAAATCTTCTCAGGGGTTTACAAATGGACGACAAACTATCATAATTAAAATATGTCTTTGATAATGATCTGACGTTGAAATTAGAGAGGAAGGAGGAGACTCCAAGCACCATTCACGAACACAAGGTTTGTGTATATTTTGAACCATTTCAGTCAAACATGTAGTTTCCTTTTGTGTGTGATGTTGAAAGACATTATGAACTTTTCTAGTTTATTTTTTGTCAAAATTAGCGCCAAATTGACTGCAAGTATATTGACAGTCATATTCGATGAATCCATTATGAAGTTTTAGAGCAATGGAATGGTATTTTTTTCTTCTCGATTGAAAACATTTGGCCTAGCAATAAGATGTCCGCTGACTGAAAGAAGTGATTATTTTTTGCCTACACCATAGATGGCGGGAATATTTCAACTAAGGCGGTCGGTAAGGGAGATGCATGGCCCTCTGCCGCTAATTTTTGAAGAGGACAAGAGTTTCTAGGATTTAAAGCTGGTGCAGTTGATATCGCTCGATGCACCTTGCATGCTAAAAGGTAAATATGTTATCCTTTATTTATGCATTTTTAGTCCTCTTAGGTTTATTGTTAGTGGTCTAATGATTGTCTTTGTGGTTCTATTTACTTGAGTGCATATGAGAAGCATGTAACATTCAGTGTTTGTCCGGTGGAGTTATCACTATTCATATGTTTCCCCTGCTCCTTAATGTCGAGCACTATTTACGTACGTCATACGCATGCAGTTCTGCATGCGTGCTCCCTGAAATAACCTTCCAATAACTCATTTATTGGGGTTTATTGAGAAGTTATTGGTGGTATTAACTTCAATGACATTTCAATAACCTCTCAATAACCTACCAATACCTTCTGCGGTTCGCGCTCATATTTTTTGCTGTCATTTGGGGGTTTTGTGAGGTTATTGGGGGTATTAACCCGAATAACACCAACATAACCCTCTAATACCCCTAAATAATTGGAATATGCATGTAAAACTACGTGTGTATGACATATATAAATATTTTCCCTTAGTGTCACCTAGCCTTTGATGTCAATAGACAATTATGTTAAAAAAGAGGAAGATGAGAAGATTCCCTAAATGCTTCTCCATCGTAAGGTGACTCTTGTCGCACATCCTGTGGTGTTGATGATAAGGGGTCACTTGCAAATTCTCCAATGACTGGGGTGATGTAAATTGCTTTGGAAGGCAAGTGGAAGGTCATTTTTAGGTAGAGGGGCACTTATAAGGCACATTGACAAGGTGTGAGGTTGAAGAGACTAAGAAGGGTATATCAGCTCTGCACGAATATTCTTCAGTGGAATTCCCTTATACTACTCCTATTATGGAGGTTGATTAATGATTATGAACCATTATAATAGCAAAGTGATGGTTGACTTTACCCAGGACCAGCTAACCGCATCCGTCGATTCAAGTTGGTTTGATCAATTCAATCGGCACTTCTTGTCGGCTCGTCCTATCGATCGTCGCCGGTTTAACCATTCCGACTGAACCTTTTTTATCGATCAGTCGCCTATGCCAACTTGCTTGACCACATTCATTGACTCAATCGATTGGCCGCGGTTGGATCGACCAAGTCCACTTATAAGTTACATCATTGCATGTTTGTTTCGTCTTGCATGCATGCTTACATCTCACACCATACACATTGTCATGATACTATAAGCATGTGCCCTCATATTCTTATTGCAGGAATATATGTCCCATTTTTGCATTACATTTAGTGGTTACTTCATTAAACCCTTTTATTATGATGCACCAATCACTTTATGTGTTTGCACTTTCACACTAGCATCTTCGCATGATTGATTACACGATGCATTTGCATGTCTTGCATTTGGGTTGTTCTTACACACTGTTCCCTCACATTCACACATCATGTGAACGGATGACTCGCCACCGAGTTGACCCATCGTACAATTCCATCCAATGGTATTTGCATACTTTCAATTCCCACAACGCCTCTTCGGATTACCATAAGCACCCTTCCGGGTCACTGTCTACTTATCCTACATTTATAGCCCAATGCTCAAGGGTTTTAATCCTGCCTAAGATATTTAAGCCCCTGTGAGCAATTGTGGACATTTGTTCCCGCCACATATGGATCATCAGACTTGTGTAAATTTGAGGTCTAGATGGCTAGGGCGATTACGACATTGCTCATGTGTGCTTAAACGAGGGATTCAATTATCTCATACCTCAAGGACCTTCAATAAGGGAGAGGACAAGAACCGATAGTACTATTTGTCAACTCTTTGTGGGATTGTTGCCCTCGACACTTTTAGGTTGCGAGTAATCCTGACTTAATTAGAGTGACTAGCTCTATGGACTACACTACTTTACAAAACTAAAATAAAATCTCTTTTTCTTGTTATAAAAAACCTTGCATGAAAATTTAAACTCTAGCATGAAAAATTAAAGAAATTTGATGAAAATTTGCAAAAGTCTATAGTTAGCCATTTGGATTGAGATTATGACTGCCCTTTGCAGGCTGTCGGGTTGGTAGCTCTTACCCAAGGTCGGGAAACACACAGTCCATCTCTAAGCCCCCACCTTCACCAAATTCTTACATCTAGTCCCGGTCTTCCATATGTGGCTACGAGTTTTCTTTTACTTGCTCGTGTTTCTTACGACGTACTTCTCTACTTTTCTAGTTTTGGATTTTTCTTGCCCCGCTTACTTTCTTTTTCTGCAATTTATTTAAAATTTCTGCAAATTATATTATATTTTATGAACTAAGCATGCAGCGGTAGTAGAAGCCCAGGTACACATTTATTTTATGTACTGCAATTTCCTTTCAGTTTACAATATTTCCTTACTTGCACTCAGTTGTTTTACAATACCTCCTTACTTGCACTTACTTACTTTGCATGCAAAATAAAAACAAAAATACACTTTCAAAATTAAAATTACACACTTTCAAAACAATAAACAAACACAACACACCCCTTTTGATTTACGAGGATTTCTCTAACGAGGTAACTTACGATTGCTAACAGGAATCCTCCAGTCTAGACGAGCGTAACAACTCATTTAGAACAAGTAAAATCAAAAGAAAAGAGTGACGCATAAATGAGGGAATCATGGGATTCTAACCGGTGTCACTTTAATTAAATTAAAATATTCTCAAATAGGACACTTGAACAACAACAACAATAACAAAACTTAACATAAACATGATAAAACCATTTGAACCTTAGATTTTAAAGCTGCTACTTTAACGAGGAGCTTGGAGCATATACTGTGTTCAGCACGACGAGGACCTGTAGAAGAACACATTCAAGAGAGCAAATAAGTCTACAACAACAAAATTATTCCCTTAGTTTAAACAACATATCACATAGGACTTCCAAGTTCCAAGTTGTTCGCCTAGTGCGACATAAATACTCACATTATCTTTAGACTTTTGCACAATCATGTTGTGCAATTTAAGTCCTAACTCATTTTAAGATTCTGATGTTGTCGTTTATTACGACTTAAACCCTTCTATCTTCAAAGCTAATTGTATGATTGATATCATGCAATTGTAAGTCCTAAATAATTAGAATTGGTAAGAAGAAACATCTAATAATATTCTCTTTAAAATAAAAGCCAATTCATGGAATAGTATGGGAAGTCACTG